AGAGTAGGTTTGAAATTTTTTTGAAACCCACCATTCTCTCTCTCTCTCTCTCTCTCTCTCTCACACACACACACACACACACACAAAACCACCTACTGGATTGCTGTGCATAGAGATATGTAATATATTGTAGATCACTAGCCTACATTCTATATAGTTTTTTTTTATTGCAGTTTGTTGTAGTGTGAAATACAAATAGAAACAAAGATCATATATACCGAATGATGTATTAATAAGCTGAAACTTCAGGGCAAGGTGCAGGAAACATCAGCTTATATGGGAAATGCTCTGTTGACATTCCACAGCCATGAAACACATGTGGGATATTTGTCCACCTACCCTTATTAGCAGTAGCAATAAAGTTGGATAGGAATATGTTGTACTTTTGAAAGTCAAGCCAGAAAAATAGATGGTTAAAGCAGCCAGCTATTGTGGTAATGGAACAGAAAGTCCCTCTCCCCCTCCGCCCCGCCACCTCTCTCTCCCTCTCCCCCCTCCCTCTTTTTCCATCCAACTACAGATAGTCCTTGATTTACAACCATAACGGAGCTCAAAATTGTTCAGCAAGGCAGTTGTTAAGGGAGTTTTCCTCTTGTGACTTTCTTGGCCGCAGGTGCTAAGTGCATCACTGCAGTTCTTCAGTGAGTCATGCAGTCCTTAAGAGAATCTGCCCCCCCCCAAATTGATTTTGCTTGTCAGAGGTTTCAAATGGTGATCACATGATCCCGGACAATGCCTCTGCCATAAATATATCCCAGTTGCCAAGCTCTTAAATTTTGGATCACATGGTCATGGGGATGCTACAATGGCTGTAAGTTTGAAAACCAGTCATAAGTCACTTTTTTCGGTGCTCTTGTAACTTTGAATGATCACTAAACAGGTGGTTGTAAATCAAGGGCTACGTATATTAGACTTAAGATATACAGCCTTAATAGTTACACATAGACAGTGCAAAAGAAGGCTCTTCTATTTGTCTATTGCTGCCAAGAATGGAACTGTAAAGTCATGTATAAGTCTAATTGAACTCGTAGAGGTTATGGATATAGCAATGGCACAGAGTTATATACCACTTCACAGTGCTTTAAAGCTCTCTCTAAGCAGTTTACAGAATCTGAATATTGCCCCCAACAATCTGGGTCCTCATTTTACCCACATCAGAAGGATAAATACGCCCACCTAATATTTCCAACCACAGTTTTGGAGGGCTTTACCAATAGCAATAGCACTTAGACTTCTGTACTGCTTCATAATGCTTTACTGCATTCTCTAAGCAGTTTACAAAGTAAGCATATTGCCCCCAATAATCTGTAAATTAGCACTTCTGAATAAGAGTGGGATAGAATCCCTTGTTCAAGGGAGTTTTACGGGGGAATGCCTATGTCTATGTCACTGAAATTGAAAATAATGCTGGCTAAATGATCGCCCAACTGATGCAGAGAAGCTTTTGAATTTAGTAAGCATTGTTTACTATGGATGTGGATGTGTACATTTTATTTTAGTTTTCTTGCAAAATGATGTTGCTGCATAAGAAAGCTTGAGAGGTGGATTTGGACTATCTCTGCCTTTTTCGAAAAATGTAGTTCAGCTTTAACATGGCAAAGAAGAAACCAGGAGATCAGTTGCATTGCCACAAGTTTGGTGTCTATAGGCAAGAGTTTATAGGCTACAAATAATTATCAATAGCACTTACATAAACCTCTCTAAGGAGTTTATAGAGTCCGCAAATTATTCCCAGCAATCTGGGTCCTCATTTTACCAACCTCAGAAGAAGGGAAAGTTGAGTCAGTCTTGAGCCTGTCAGGATCAAACTTCTGGCAGTGGACAGAGTTAGCCTGCAAAGTGTATTTTAACCTCTTCGTTAAGGTGATTGGAGGAAGAGGGCGGGGGGAGAGAGATGATCTAGCTAGCTATAGATTTGAGAACTACTTGTGGTCTCCAGTCCAAGTACTACTAACCAGACCTATCCTTGCCATATGTCCCAGCAACCATAGTTTTTTTTAAAGCCTCATTTATTTCTTATTTATTTATGTATTCACATTTCTGAAATGCCCATCTCCCTCAAAGAGGAGATTTGCATCCACACTTAAATGCATAATTTTCATGCTTGGGCCTCCTCCGGGTGCCGTCGGCTGGACAATGCCGGCTGGCGACCCCTTGGGGGAGGGCCTTCTCTAGCTGCTCCGGCCCTGTGGAACGATCTACCCGTAGAGATCCGGACCCTTTCCACTCTCTCGG